CTTCTTCCGCACAGTGCTGCTGTCATAGTCGTATTTCTGCAGGGCGAGCAAGAGGGCAGGGTCAGGCTGATGCCACAGGGAACGGTGTGTGGGTTCCTCAGCCTCTCTCCCCAACATCCCTTTTCTGTCTAGTTTTCAGGGGCACCTGAGATGGGCACCAACTGACTCCTCCATCTCTTCTCTCCAGAAGCCTTTGGGCCAGTGTGAAACTGGAGTGGCTTTTACATTAACATATGCATGTGCTCAGAGGGGATCGAAGGAATCTGGTTCCTGCTCGAGCCTTTCTTGCACATCTGACCCAAACCTCAGCAAAATACATAACAGTCTCAATATTTGTTTTCTCCCAAGATGTATTATCGTCAGAAATGTGATTTGTGACCTCTTTCCCAAGCTCCCAGCCCTCTGACAAAGGCTACCTCTTGAGAAGACACCAGTACTCTACAGACACAACTCATGTCACACCACCCTCCTGTTTTCCTGCCCCGCTCACCTTGAGCACCCGCTCAAGGATGCGCTGGATTGACTTGCACAAGTCGTCTTTGCCCTGAAGCTTTCCCAGCTCCTGGTGGAGGAGGGTCTCGAACGTGTGCACAGCGTCGTCCATTTGCTGTGACAAGGGACACATCATGAGCACTGAGGAGGGACCCCAAAGTGGCCAACCATGGGAACAGGGGCTCCTTTGGGGCACCATGAGGCCAAGACACTGGCAAGGCTCACAGCATCCTGGTGTAGCATCTGGACCCACCACTTTGAGAACCTTGTGGGGAACCAACAGTGCCAGGCAATGGCTTGGGGGCCCAAATCTTGGCCAAGGCAACTGGAGTGTGACCAGCCTGGCCTCCACCTCCACTGCTCACCACAGTGCCTCTCCTTGCGACTTCCCAACCTCCCTGCTCTCAAGCCTAGGAAGGTTCGAGAGGACATTGTAAGGGACGACCACAGCTGTCCCCATCCTACCTGTCTCATGAGAATCTGGGCCCTCTGCTTGAAGACAGATGTGCTGGAGACATCAAACCGTTGCTGAAGACCCTCTAGTTTCAGCTGGTCCATCTTTTCATAGCATGACTGCATCTTGACGGGGTGGAAGGCCAACTGCGAAAGCTTCTCCATGTACTGGGGACAGAGGCATAGCTCAGCAACGAGGACAGCCTCTTTGCATGCATCCCCAACACCAGGCATGGCAGTCTGGACCGCCATGGTCAAGCCCATGTCTCCAGCAAGCTGGGGACCTGGACCTATTTGCTGTCAGTACAGACAGTACAGTGACTCTGGGCTCCTTCATCAAAGCTGTAGGTGGGCCTTGGTGGAGCAAGGCAGTCTTCTAAAACCGAGAATAAAGTGGAGGGAAGGAGCATCAGGGGAGCTGTGGGCTTCATCCCCATGGGCAACACTATTTTCTCTGTCTTGGGTCCCAACACATTCCACAGTACAGTCCTCAATGGGCATGGGCAGCAGGACTGCCCCTCCACTCCTGAGCCCTGTCCTGCCAGCAGCAAGAAGCGTCCCCAGCCTCACCTCGACCAGCTTCTCCAGGCCGCCCTCATTGACGATATTCATGTTCATGTCTGTGACCTCCTTGAAGAACACCTCACGCACCTCGGCAAAGCCCTGGCTTGTGGGGGTCATCAGAGCCTCCAGGATGGAGGAGATGTAGGGCTGGACATGGTTACGGACACAGATCTCCGCTTTGGGCAGGACGAATGCTAGGGAGAAAACAGAGGTAAGAATGGCAAGCTTGCTCCTCTGCCGTGTCAGCTTGGAGCCCACTGACAATCCAGGCCCTAATCAAGCTGGAGCACAGGATGTGCCCCCTCTCCCCAAACCCTTCTAGGAGAGGGTCAATCTCAGATTTACTTGGAAACTCAAGGTGTTCTTGCAGATGACTTTACAGTCTTCTGTTCCTCCCCTCAGCTGCTCTGTTTTTGGGATATTGCCCACTTTGTCTCTCAGCTCTAGGCTCTTTCTGTGGCACAGAAATGCAAACCTTGTGCTTGCACCTTGCCCACTGCAGCTCCCGGGCCCTTCTCCCGAGGCTCTGTACTCTTCTGTACTCCCTGATCCCACTTGCTGTGCCAACAGAACAAGCTCCACCCCAGAAACTGCTCCAGATTGGTAAAATACTTCTCACATCATACTGGCAACTGCTCACATATATCCAGGCCATCTGTGCAGCCTGCAAGGGCTTGGAGGGTTTTCTCCCTCTAGGGCTGTACCTCGGATTTTGCTTGCCAAGTGCTCCTTCGAAGTGATGATCTGGTCCATATCTGTACGGATGGTGCTCTCCATCTGGGGACGTTCCAGTTCACATTTGGTGAGAACTGCATCGTACTGGGTCTTCGTCTGGTCATAAACCATCCTGTAGACGGCATCCGAGATCTAGGGAGACAGACACTGCCAGGACACTGCCTCTGGCATCCTGCTGCAGCCTGGTGACCACCACCATTAGCTTCCCTATAGGTAGTGAGATACAGCAAGGGAACGCACAGCGCCTTCCCCAGGCTCCTGGCCAGACCCAAGCCTGCAGCCTCGCCATATGGCTTCCAGGCCACAGATCCCCAAACTGGGCAAGATGAAGCCCTGAGGATGCATAAACCACTTCAAAGCCGGACCTGACCAGCAGAGTAGCAGGAAGGGCCCTGCCCCTGCCCTGCCTCTGGCAGAGAAAGCTCCTGCGATGGTCCAGGTCTGCGAAGGGGAGAACCTGGCTCCATTTGAAAGCTGTGGATCAAATCCAACCCAGCAGAGCACAGGCATTCAGTAATTCTGCGTGCTCTTGTCCAAACCTTGGCCTCCTCCCTGCCAGGGGCCTGGGGCTGTTTGTTATTGATGCAAACAGAGGTTCTGGTCCAGTTAGGGGCCCAGAAAAGCAAGCTCAGAAGTCTCCACAGTCCCCACAGGACATATCCATGGATACTAGGGGAATTGCCCTTCTCGGGATCATGCGTCCCAGGCTCCACACTGCTGCCGTTGCAGTAGCCGTCTCCATGCGGGCATCAGCCAAGCAAGCCTGGATGCCAGCCAGCCCCCAACATGAAGCTGGTCTCCAGGGAGCCCAGAGCCTCCTCGTGCTTGTCACTGACTGCAGCTGCTTCACGAGGCTTCATGTGGGTTTGCAGCCAAATCCAGCGCTTTCGGGGCCGGCAGGAGGCAGAGCTGTTCCTCCCTTGTCTCTCAGCTCTCGGCTTTTCCAGCATTACTGCACAGCTGCGCTGCTCAGGCCAGAGCTGTGAAAAGGGCAGCGCTTGGGTATTTTTAGGCTGCCTCAATGGAACTCTGTTAGCAGCCGTGCAGAAATGTTCTATTGGTTTTAAGCTTTTAATAGGCAATTTAGAACAGCGCTTTGCTCTTTCGCAATGTTTTGAGGCTGGATTTAGCCTGCGCAGCTCTAAAAATGGCTTGCTAAATATAGCTGGGACGGGCGGTGTTGCTGGCTCTGCCCGGGGCGTGTGTTTCCTAGTGCGGAGTCCCTGGCCCAGGGGACCTGCTGGTACCGCGGCCGCGGAGCCGCCGAGGGGAGGAGGCGCTGCTGGCAGCGGCTGGCTTGACGGGCACCAACGGGGGCGTGTGA